AGGCATGTTTCGATACTTTGTAGAACCGAAGCATTTCGGTCGGTACCATAAAAGAACCGATGTTTTGTTCATTGTGACACCTACGCAGACGACCCAGTTTGAAAGTATAAATCAGCCTTAAATCAGCCTTTATAGGGATAAAACTGATCCCCTTTGCGTTCCGAGCCAAAACCCTGAGGACTCCACGGGAAGGAACAGGACACGATCAGAAGACATAAGAGACACAAAATCCTCTCTTTCCACCGACCGCTAGGAACCATGAAACAGAAAAACAAACAGAAAACTAATAATGATCTGGCCCCGAATGCTCAGGCTGAACTCAATATAAAGCCAAGGAAACAGGTGGATGAAATAAATGATAATTTATACAAGTTTGTCAAATTCCTCCCTTTTTGGGGATCATGACTCTTTTCTGTATAGAAAAGCTAGAATTTGTTTTGAGTTCTACGGTTGGCATCTTTTGAAAGGAACTTGGCACACAGTTTGAGCTTTTCCCAGAAAAAGCAAGTTTTAATTTCCCAGTTCTCTAAAGGTAACACTTACCTTGACTTCCCTGACAAATGTTCTTGTATAACACAGATTCTTACTGTTTAAAAAATGAAAAAATATAATGTGAATTTGAAGAGATTTATGAAGACATTTATTCCATTTTTCATGTTGAAAATCTCTTAGGCTTCCTGGAAATGGGGTCCTGATGGGCATGGAGCTGTCGTTTTGGTAAACTGTGACAGAGAACGTTATGTATACTATCGAAAACCAGACTGTCAACTCAAAGACGAGAAACAAAATCATATAAGTAAGCAGATCAGTGCTGAGTACCAAATTTCACTTCTTTTTTTTTATTCCAAACTGCATGACAATTACTTTTTCTTTTGCATCTGTGTTTTTTTACGGATTCAAAATTTGAATAAAATGTTACAATTTCTTTGATTTGCATTGTGTATAAAATCACTACTGACTAGAACCAAATAGTTTTGAAAATATAAAAACATTTTGTGTTAACTTTTAGGGGAAATCTGCATTTTGCATTATGAGCTGAGCTTCTTCACATCAGCAAACAGGCTTCTGTCCCTTTGTCTTAATTTTTGTATCCATTTCTTAGTATTATAAATGGATTAAAAGTTTAAACTGATATGTATGGTTATGGTTTTGCTTTAAGCTTAAATATAATCATAATTTAGAATTTTACTATGAATTTGGACATTTTAGAAAGCATTAATTTCCTTGTATAATTTTTCTCTACCAGAATGCATTATTAGTGTAACATATTTAGAAATGACATATTGTTAGGTTCTAAATTGTCAGAATATAGTAGCAATGGCAATATTGAAGGTTAGCAGACAGTTTGTGACAGAGAAAGTAAGACCAAACTCAGCTTACCTAAGTACTCCTGATTAGCTGTTACTTTATTTTGGATCCCATACTGTATATGACTGTGGAATTATAATCTGAGCCAGTGCATTGCTAAATGATTGTTTCTGAAAGATGACTACATGTCACTTAATTGGCCAAAAAAAATCGTAGTCTCAGACCCATGAGTGTAAAGCTCCTTCAACATTTGAGGAAGAGGTATATTTTAAACAGTTTGTGCCAATGTAATTTCTTGTTTTTCTAGCTCTTAAGGACTGTGCAACCATGCTTCTGCGGATCAACGGCCCTGAGTTACTCGTTGCGGGTTACAAACTTGTCATGCATATCTCTGAGAGAGATTCAGAGTATATTCGAGTCTACCGAGATGAGACCGAGGACGAGGACTACATTACTAAGTCCAAAGCTCGTAAGTAAAATTAGGGTATTTAAAAAAATAATAAAAAATCCAACATATGTAAGTTGGATGCAATTCAACAGTTGTCTAAAGGTGCATTCACACTGAACATGAATTTTTAGCCTGACTTCTCAGACAATGTCCGATGATGACGTCACACGAGCGGTTTAACAGGAAAAATGAAAAAAGCATCAAAATTGTCTCAGACCTTTTTTTAAAGGTATGTATTAGTGTTCTTTAGTGAGTTAGGGAATGGAAATAATAAAATTTAGTTCCATGATTTCATGAAATATGAAACCTGGATGTATTTCTGGTTGCGGATGCGCAAATAAGCAGATGGTATGGATCGTGCTTCCGGGACGAATCGGGTAGCGACAATGCTTCTCCAATCTAGCTTCTGCTCTCTCTCCTGGACCTAGCACCGGCAAACCGCTGTCTCACCTCCCCTCTGTTGTCTGGGTCATTTGACCCCGGGTCAGCAGGGCCTAGAAATGGGTCACGGAGAGGCGGAACTACCACTGAAAGTGACCATCATCCAGATATAGCCCCTCTAGAAGCTGATGGTATTCCCAGTACTGCTTCCATCCCTGGAAATTCTGTGAACCCAGGGACCCCCAAAGCTTTGTTTGGCTTTCAAAATTAAAAAAGAACTGCGCACTCCTTGTAAATCCATGTCCTCCATATTGAGGTGAAACTAGCAACCAGTAGACTTCATAACGTAGGAGCCGTTCACCTGCTGTGTGATCTGCTTTCACTGACTATTCAAATTTCAAGGTGATCAAAGGCAGGTGAAATTGGTGAAATGTTTGCAGGTGTTGTATTCGGTGTGAACGCACCTTTATGGTTGCATAATTTTTTTCAGTTTATTTAAAGCTACAGTGTGGACTAATTACAGGGATTTACTGACAGAAATGTATGGCTATCTACAGCTATCAGTACCTACAACAATTAATAAACAAAACAACCCTATGAATTACTGCAACATTTAAGTTCCCTCTGGGATTGGTAAGGTATTTTTGAATTTATCATTATATATTTTACATGAGTATATTATTTAAAGAAAAGACCCAATCTTTATATTTGTGTTGCATTTGAAATTGCTTTTTATAATAACACAGGAGGAGGCCTCCCGTTAATGAAAGAAGACATGTTTGCACCACAGAAGCACAGAACTGACAAAATAGTGACTGTAGAAATCGCCAGTATACTCAAAATATGACTGAGGCAAGTTAGGCCTGTATAAAATCTATATCCTGCACGACTAATAAAATATTATTCATAAAATTATCTGTTTAAACAAACCTCATCATAGTTTGCCAATTTGGAATGTGGGGATGTTACTGATGCCATTTTGTGCTTTGACTGTGTCCGTATTATTGGTGTGGGGGCGGGGTCATGGCTGTCCATTAGAGGTCACTAAAAAATACATACTGTAGTTTTAAATCACTTGATAGACAAAGGTTTTGTGTGTGTTTATGTATGTTTAAAAAAAAAAGAAACTAATTGTTCTTATTTATCTTTATGCATCCACAGCTGAATTTATTAGAAAATATATATATGATTATCCACTGGTCCTGAGCAGCGAGGTGCTGTCTCAGGAACTTCCTCAACTTGAACGCGCTCCTCAACTCAAATTTTATGTGGAGGGCCTGAGGTTTCCTGACAAGGATTTTGACGGACTCGTAACCATCAACCTCAGCTTAATGAGGAGGTTAGGTCAGGTAAGACCTTCAAAACAGCATATCACACTAAGCTTTTTATTATAACCACTTTCCAAATGTATTGTTTGTCCTGGAGATTTTTTTCATATATTTTCATATAATGGCTAAAAAAAACAATGTCTTATATAGATTTTACATGATAAATTCATACATCCAGTCATTTTACAAAGTGGAATGAAAATGATGTACAGTACAGTGATTTTTCTTTTTTTTTTTGGCAAATGCCTGAATATGACTTTACTGATGGTCTCTAACAAACCACTTCATGAAGCGGCTGCATTTATACTTAGATCACATTTGATACCAGACTTTATTTTGAGCTGTCACAATAAAGACCTTATACTTATTTATTTAGCATTTTTGTGACAAATCTTTTAACGATGTATCATTTTTCTTGCTTTTATTATCTCATATTCAATTACAGAAGATAGCAGCGTACTCATCCCCCTTTTTTTCTTTTTTTAAGGACGGTCCTGACATGCCTGTTTTCACAGACAAAGTGGTGTTTAGAGTTTCGCCATGGATCATGACGCCCAATACCCTCGAGCCTGAGGAGGTGTTTGTCTGCAGGTTAGAGAGAACTAATGAATGATAAAGATGCTTGTCAGTAGCTTGGGTTAAGTCGTCCTTCCTCTTTGTTAAGGAGTTTGACTGTTTGCTTATCTCATTTCAGCTTTTTCAGAAAACTAAAACTTTAAATTGATAAGACTCAGTTTCTTCCATTAAAAAAGAAAAAATCATATCCAATAATCAACGGCTACAACATTTTGAGATGCAAAAAAAAAAAAAATAAAATATTTTACCAAAAATACATGTCTGCTTGTGATTGCAGTACATCTGATAACGCGTTCCTCAAAGAAATTAAGGACCTTGTTGACAGGAGCGGACACCAGCTGAAGACCGTCGAAAAACGCAAGAACAGAGGAGACCGCTGGATTCAAGTCAGGAAATCTAATGAACCTTTATTCTAAAGATTGTTTTTTGACATAATTAATACGTTGTTTTTATAGGATTTTCATAAAAAAGATTTTAACCAATCACATGAGAACAACTGGAATATGAGATGGAAAATATAATGTGTGTTTTTCAGGAAGAGATAGAATTAGGCTACGTTGATTCGCCATATCACAGGTTTCCTGTGGTTCTGGATTCACCTAGAGATGAAAAACCTGATGATTATCCCTATCATGGTATCGTGGTAAGAGTCTTCGTTTTCCTTTGCGATCAAATGTTTGATATCCACTAATAGGTCTTTACAGCATCAAAAAAATTTTTTTCTGGTTACTGCTATGAACATCATAATTTATCAGTAGACATTTTAACATATGCAAGTGGTTGGCCTGTAAATGGGTTGTAGGAAATAAGTGATTACTACTGGCTGGTAAGAAAACTGCTTTTTGTATTTGCATAAATTTCCAATTATATTTAAAAGTGTAAAATGTGCGACTCAATGACCAAAAGTAGAAAGGACTTTAAAGTGTGTGATTACCATGCACTTTGGGATGGACATCCATCAAAAGGAGTTTGAGCAAGCAGGCTTGCTGTAAAATGTTTAGAGAGATTACCCAGTTACACTTTGAGAGTTTCAAAGGCTGCAGCAAGTCTGTTTACATCAAATGCTGCCCCTTCTGGAGCTTGAATACATCTTAGAAGTTTCACTGACATAAAATGTATTTCATAGTGACACATAATTGGTCTTTTTTATAATTTAGTTTACAAATCATTACAGATGCACTGATCTGATACCTGGTTCAGATACCGGCTGCGATATTGTCAAATTAGCTGGATCGGTTTTAGTAATTTGATTTCAGAGATCCAATCCAGTGCACTTTATAAGGACCTGTAATTATTTTTTTTTTGATGATTTTTTTTTTCTTTTTGTATTTGTGACGGTCCTGCTGTGCGGTTGGGGGTGAGCATA